AAAAAAAAAAAAAAAAAAAAAAAAAGTATACACCTCATCCTAACACAGGGTTTCCCATTGTGCAGGGTTCTCCTTCAGTTTTAGAGAAAAGTTTAAGTAAGACCTTCCATCTTGGTGAAACCTTGTTAAGACACACAATTTTAGGGGAGATAAACAGTGGGACTTTTTTTTTCATTTTTTGGGTTCTTTTTTCTTTTTAATACCAATAAAATGAATTCTTTTTAGTTCCAAATCTCTCCCTTTATTATCATAATTAACACTTATTTGGAAAGCCAGTAGTAAGAGCTGTTCAGACAGCACCGTTACATTATTGTTTTCAGGCACACAAGGATGGGGGACTTCTATAATCAATCACAAGGTAAAATGAGCTCTGAAAGAGACAGACTCCAGTTCACAAAGGTTGCCCCCCGACAGCCAGCATTAAAAGCAGCATCAATATATCATTATTAAGACAATTAATAGGTGATTTTATTCTTCTTGCTACTTAAAAAAGAGCGAAATGATGGCAGTGATGGTCAACTTCATACGGGGAAGACCAAGTCCACACTTTGCCCCGAGTCAACTTCGACCACATGAGTCTTCTTGGTTAAAGGGCTTGAGCCCACAGTGACAGAATAGATCCCAAGATACACTTCTATGTAGAGGTCCTTAGAGATGTCCTCAGCAGGCCACGATGCCTCTTGAGAATGCTCTGATGTTTGGTAGGTAATTCCTGGACCAACAGATGTCTCTTCTCTGCTGTTTCTCCATTCTCGATCATGTCCTATGTCTGAGTACATGTACATTTCTGGAGGCTTCCTTCTGTGATAACGGTAGACGTGGGTTGCCCCTCCTTCCTCTGGCATAGATGAGTAGTATTTCCCACACTGACTTGAAGTATAGTCCATGAATTCAGCCATTGTTCTGACGGAAGCACTAAGGGTTGGGCGCCTTTCTTCTCTACTTCCGCCTCCAGAACCCTGGGTGTGGCCCCTCATCCAACCTGCTTCTCCGGGCGCATGCGCGCCGCGCTCTCCCGACCGCGCCTGCGTTCCCGCGGCCCTTTTTCTTTTTTCATTTTAAACAACAATTTACTTTACAAGATGTTGACTTGAAGGAGAAAGTAGGATTCATTTTCTTTTCAAGAATTACCCCTTTTTAAAGAGAGATTGTCCTGCAATATAACAGCAACATACAAAAAATAATGTATAAACTCATTGTTGGTTTGACAGAGATAAATGAAAGACATAAAAAAAAATCTCCAGTCAAACAAAGTATGCAAGTAGTTTTGTGGTGCTGGGTTCTTTGGTCAAAATAATGATGGAAAAGTGACTTCCTGGAATCTAGGTGAGAGCCAAGTGAGCGTGCCACTGAGGTAGAAAGGGGGTGTTTTCACAGAACAGTGCCTTCTTCCACATCATCTCCATTTGGGGTCAGCCAAAACAGAATTTTGGCCATTCAGGGTTTTTGTTTCGTTTTTGTTTTTGTTTTTCAGTGTAACATGCTGTGCCCATACACCAGTTACTTTATGTCCAGTCAAGGAATGGAAGAACAGGGTAGGACCCAAATCGCAGCTTTCTAATTGAGAGTGTATTCATGATCTGTAACAAAATTCTGGAGTAGAGTAGCAGGCTCCCTGCTTAGTAGGCACTTCCTGTCTGTCCCTGGAACACACCTGTCATATCTGCAGCCTCTGCTTCCAGCTGTGCAGATGTGTCTCTTTCACACCTGCACAGCTCATCGATTGCTCATCCAACTGGAATCCGATCTGCCTCACAGACAAACCCTGTGCTTCACAACAGACTTTTATTGGTTCACTAATTGTCTGCCTCTTGACCTCAATAAGCACCACAGAACCATCGCCCACCACCTTCACGTGTATATGATCGCTGTTCTCGGTCTTGGCTCCTTCCTTGGGTTAAAACAGGATGTTAAAGGGGTGATAAAGAGGGAAGCTCATCTAAGACACAGGGTGTTTACAGGATGGTGAAAAAACAGGCTGTTCGAAAGGGTGTGTGTGTGTGTGTGTGTATGTGTGTGTAAAACATTCCATTCTGCAGGCAAGCTCTGGAAGTAGACAATTCAATGGCTTCAAAAAGTTCCTAAAACTGACCAGATTCAATAGATCCTCCTCCCTTCCCCCAAATACAGAAATAAGAAGGACTGCTAAGAGACACTTTCAGACAAGCTGAACTGCCTGGAAGAAGCTCAGACCAAAGAACTAAGCTGCCTTGAAAGGATACTTTCTAATCCATTCAGTCAGTGCAGTTCAGGTTTCTAGGTGTCATGATCTGCCACCTATGTTGAGGTGGACTCTGGTGATTCAGTTGTCATGTCTGCTCCTGTAAATAACCCTTCACTTTTATTGTTGTAATTAACCCAGTAAAACAAACTGGCTAGCATGTTGAACTTTGGTGGTACAGTGACTTTAGTCTGTGATCAGTTCTCTATCTGAGGTGAGTAGCCATTTGGTCACATCTTCCCAGGAACAGTACCACACAACAAGGTACAGGTGGCCGGATGCTTCTGGTAATGATGTGTCAACAAACAAGGCAGTATTTTACCTGAAAGTACAAAGTCAGCTAACTGCACAATAAACAGAATAAACAAAAGGATAAGGCAGGAAAGACTTGTATACGAGGATACTGAGACAGTATCGGGAAACCAGGCAAACATTCACAACACAAGTGAACTAGGCAAGGACTAAGTTCCACCAGGCACAACAGCAGTCTTTGAAAAGTCAACAGTAACTATGGGTCCTCTCCCGCAAATTGCACCTATCTATAAGTCTGTGACTCCCTAAAACATAACCATAGGCCACCAAGGGCCAATAGATGGTAATTCTAATTCAGGAGAAAAAAATCCAAGTTAAGAAATATTTCAGTCTGTGACAATCACTTCATCCCCAACACCATGTCTGCTGTGGTTTGAATGTGTCCCCTCCCAAATTTAGGTATCGCCAATGTGACAGAATCGAGAGGTGGGCCTCAGAGGTCATTAGGCCGTGATATCAACTCCTTCCTGAGTAGGACTGGTATCCTTATGAAGGTGTCACACAGCTTTATGACTAGCCAGATCTTCTATCCTCCACCAGGTGAGGACACAGGAAACATCTCCTCACCACATACCAAATACTAGCACCTTGATAGCAGATTTTGCTGACTTCAGATCTATAACACATCATGAGTTCCCCACTCTTAGCTACTCTGTTACAGTAACATAAACAGGCTAAGACAATGCTCCAAATATTAATTAGCACACATATGTAATTAAATATCCCCAAGTTAGAAAACATTCAATCTGAAAACCTCTTATTTGAAACTTGCCAGTATTTGTATAAAGTTTACAAGATAATCAGAAGGTAGGCTATTTAGATACTGGTAATTCGATTTTTTTAAAAATGAAATCAGCAAACATCACATCCAAACAATCTTAGCTATTGTCCGTCTGGCTTCTGTACAATTTTATCATTAAGCATCTTTCATCTAAATAATTCAGTGAAGAATTATTAATGGCTCTTGCTTCTCTACCAAATACCTCTTTGCCGTTCTGTACTATAGAATCCAGAAATCGTTGAGGATAATTCAGTCTGTGTGGTTTTGCTTGATCAGATATGTCTCTGAGAAGGAAATGGTAAGGAAAGAAGGCGGGTCTTAGTTACATCTAAATATGAACAACTCTTGATGCACTGAGAGCATGAGACCATACTTTGTAACAGTGCAATGCAGGAAACTCACCTGGAATCTGTCCCATTTCTAAACGTTTTCCAACCTTGCTGGTGAGAAAGGCCACAAAAACCAATCCAAAAGCACTGAGTTTAAAGCCAGTCCGGAGACGTCCCTCTGCTTGGATTATTTTCCCTGTTACCACTCATCGGAAGACAGGTTTACCAACACACGCACCCGGAATCCCAGCCAAGAGCAAGCAGCATTGTGGAATCTGGACAGCAGGGTGGAAGGGTGGCCAGGGCATCAGCAGATGGAAACATGAGGGGGCTGCTGGGCAGCAGCTGGAGGAAGTTTGGCCATGCTGGCCGGGGGACGTACGAGTGGCTGACCAGCGAACCAAGCCTGCCACTTCTGGAGACCCAGCTGCAGGTCTGTATCTATGGATTCAGTCATTCCTTCCCCCAACGTATGTTTCTTAGATCTTTAATCCAACATTGCCTGTGTTTTCAGGTTTTAAAACTTAGTGTGGCCACATTGAGTATTAAATTGATAGAATAAAAATATGAGTTCTCTGATTAGCAGTCTGTAAGAAGCAACGTGAGAGCGGGGTGGGGGGCAGGGGGGCCAGGGGGCTTAGCAATCACCAATGTATCATAGGAATATCTGTTCTATCAATTATAGATCAAAGAACACCTGAGTCTAGGAACCAAGAGCTTTTTGATGTGTTTTAGTTGTGTTCTTTGCTCCGTGTGCAATCTCTAGACACTATATACGAACTAAGAGGTTAGGCTGTTGTTCCTGGCTGTGTGGTGAGCATGTGTCTAATAGTTCGTAGAAACCGCTGCTAATCTTCAGGAAGGAGGGCAGGGGATTAAGGAGTTTTCTCTTTTACTAAGAAATATAGCAGCTGCTTGGAGTTGTCTGGCAAATCACCAAAATAGTGTCAGTCTGAGCAACATTAAAGAAAAAAAATTATAGAAATCTAAGAACAAAGAGGCTACAATCAGAGCCTAAATAAATGGCATGCTGACCACACAAGAAAGGAAAATAAACTTATTTTCTTGTTTTCTAGAAAGCTGGAGAGATTGGTGTTTAAAATCTCCTAAACCTTAATTTATAGAAAAACATATTGATATATAGAAAGATAGATCCTTCACATGTTATACCTTAATCTCAGTATTTTTCTAAAATGTCCCTAAGTAAACACAAACCTTAGAAAATTTTTAGAAGTTAAGAAGCTAGTTGGAGTATAGGAAAGGATTTTAGAACTGTTGAGCAGGAATAATAACTTTTCTATATTAAGGGCACACAACAATTTCAATAATCATAACATGAATAATCAAATAAAGAAATTAAGAATGCTATAATACATTTGCCCTACAACTCTGAAATTTTCTTAAGTGAAAAAATATAGTACTTTGTCTCAAGAGATTGTAGTACTCTGTATGTTAAATAATAAAACAAAACAAAAACACTTCTAATACTATTTACTATTTGGACAAAAGTAATCAACCAACAATAATAATGATTTCATTTAAGACTGTATTATTTTTCTTTTCCCAGTTTTTTGAAACTAATATTGATAATATTAAATGTGGCATCATTGTACACAACAGCATCTGTTACATAAAATCTTTTAAATAGAATGTTAAGTATCTTTGTATCCAGTGCATATTAAATTTATCAGGTGTAATAGAGAATTTAAAATTTGATGACCATAGTAGACCAGAAACCATTATCATCTGTTATTGATATAGAATAAATTTTAAAACACATTGCAAAAAAAGATCTGTGTTTTTTGGAGCAATGATTGTTTTAAAGGTGATGGCAGCTTTAACATATTAATGATTAAACTAGAAAGAGAAAACCAGTTATAATTAACTTTCTTTTTTACTCAAAATTGATTTGTTATTTCAATGGATTCCTTTATAGTTTTATGAATTCTTATACTTTTATAATCAATGGCCTATGTTATGTCACAATAGATTATAAGTATATTATTCTGATATTAAACTAGATTATATAGAAGAAAACAAGAAATCTCTAGTTTAAAAAACAGCAACCACACACAAAATATATTACTAATTATTATGAATATATACACAATAAATATAAATTTAGTAATGCTAGGGTTTATGCTCATCATATTTTCTAGCCTTATCAATACAATTTCTAGGTTTCTCCTGGTTGTCTTCAGTATTTATTTATTTATTTATTTATATATTTTATTTATTTATTTATTTACTTATTTCAGGGTTTTTTTGTTTTTTTGTTTTGTTTTTTGTTTTTTGTTTTTTGTTTTTTTGAGACAGGGTTTCTCTGCGTAACAGCCTTGGCTGTTCTGGAACTCACTCTGTAGACCACGCTGGCCTCAAACTCACCTGC